GACAAATTTTAATTTATTATATTTTATAGGAAATCATTCAATTTTCATTACTTCATAAAATAATTAATTATTTAACCTTATCAAATTATTGCGTTTTTTCATTAAATTAATTAAGTATTAATAAAATCCCAGCAGCGCACAGCTTGAAACGCAAATGTAGTAAAGCTTTAAAACTAAGCTGTTGCATACTTTTAGGCTGTAGGCAAAGCACGAAATAAACAACACCAACCAACGGTAAAACACACACACTCTCCCATTCAAACACTTACACGCATATATTTCGAGAAAATTGCTTGTAAGTATGTGCGYTGTTATGTATGCATATACATACATATGTATGTGAGCATGTATGATTATCGCTTGTTATCTCAACACTTGTACGACTCCCAATGGCAATATTCATTTGCTGCTGTCGATGCAAAAATTTACTGCTTAACTACATACTATATGTGTATGTATGTGTGCGGGTATGGATAGGTTTTATATAATATATTGAATATGTATGTACGTATATTTATAACCAAACGTGTCTTATCTCTCTAAAGTGACAATAAATAGTAAGAATTCTAGAATGTGCTTTATAAAAACTGTTATGTGGACAAATATTATAGCATTATAGCATTTAAATAGTTATTTTTAATACTGATACCATTACAGAAGTAGATAAGTCGCTTTGTAGTTAAGTGGGCTCGTCTATAAATGTTGTTTCATTTAGCAAAATGGCGGCACATACATATAAACTTTATTATGTACAACGTATACTATCTTTAACAGCTTTTTAAGTTATCAAACTCATAAAATAATTCCAAGAAGCAAACAATGTCTGTATATATTTACTTCCTAATTCTCATGTTATATTAAACATGTTAAAGCTTTTTGCGGAACATAACAATGAATTAATGCATTTGCAGAAAAGATTATCTTAAATACCACTTATAAGCAATTCAAATACAATAAAATTCATTTTAACTCATATGGATAAAATTATTTATTAAAGTAAACAAAATTTATTTTTTTTTTTTATCTCTTTTTCATGAATTTTAGTTCTTAAGAATTCCTACAATTTCAAATACGATAAAGAGATAAATTCTGAAGAACATTTCGTGGTTTATGATGATTTCTTCGAAAAAGTCAATACCTGCTTAATGACTTCTATACAAATACAGGGTTATGCATATAGTGCTTAAAAAAAAAAAAAACAAAAAAACCCAAACTTCGCCTGCACTGAAGCTATCCATCACAAGTGGATTTCTTATAGCATAAAATGTAGCAATATCTTGATCACGAATTTGATCGAAAAAATTTTCGAATGAATTTCATCGATCAAGAGACAGCGGCTGCGCTGGCTAGGTCATGTCGTACGTATGAACGAAGACACTCTAGCCCAGAAAGTATTCGACGCAATACCCGCCCGGGGAAGCAGAGGAARAGGAARACCTCCACTCCGTCGGAAAGACCAGGTGGAGAAGGACCTGGCTTCGCTTGGAATCACCAATTGGCGCCACATTGCGAAAAGAAGAAACGACTGGCCCGCTGTTGTTAACTCGGCTATAATCGCGTTAGCGATGTCTACGCCAGTAAAGCACATGGCTTAATCGACTAAGATCATCACTCTGATCATTATATATACTTCATAGGAACTCCGACGTTTCCTTCTGTGTGTTACAAACTTCGTGCTGAACTCAATATCCCCTGTTCATGGTATGAAAGCATTGTATATGGCTAAAACGTTATTTTCCAAAGATCGAAGAAATTTTCCTTTATACTGATACACGCTATCATCTCCATGGCTTTATCACCGCTCACTTTTGGCAACCAGAAAAAATTGGAAATGTTTATCAAGACCTAACAAGTATACAAGCATACTGACAGTTTGATGTGGCGACACCTTGATATGTTTTTCATTGAAAATGGTTTTGGAAATGTCATTTTTTTTCAATTCAATAATTCTTAAATAGTGTAAATGCCTCTGGATCAAATAAGTACTATCCAAATGACTCTTAACTTCAACAAGAAAACCGAGGTACTCAAACCATTTTTTATTAAGAATGTGTTCTACAAATTGCTCTGTCGCTATTTGTCGAAAGTCTATGCTTAGTTATCACATTTAAACTACAACATTAGGAAGATAATAAAGAATAAAAACTTGAATTAGAAATTTTTACTTAAAGATAATATGGGATTTACGTGGAATTTAATACATTTAACTAAATATTTCCAATTTGTTAACACCTACCTAGATTACTTTGTATTAAGTTCATTAAGTACTTGTACTCGTAATCGTAATCGTAACAAAATGTATGTATGTATGTATGCACGTGTATTGAATTAGTGGTTAGCTCAATCCAACTATTTGCATTTTTATTGATTTTTTTTAATAAACACTTTTATTTTAGGATTATAGTTACTTCAGACACTCTCGAGACTCTTCCTACAATTTTTAAGTACTTGCTTACACAAGCCWTTTTGACCTTCCAATGTGATCTCTGCGCTGGTGTGCGTGCACTTGTGCATATCCACAGCACTCACACTGACGAACAGCAACAGCAAAGCAAAGCAAAATGATGAATGCGTCATCGTTAGCAAAAAATTGAAAGAATTCGTTTCGTTCAAACACAATTTTCCTTACATATAGCAAATATATGCTCACGTAAATAATGGTTGTGCCGATATATATATATGTATGTATGTATCAATATAATATGATTGTCTATCATAATACGGCAAATCAATTGTGAAATGCACGTTTGTTATCTAGCGGTTTAAGCGTCGTCGTCGTTGTCGTCGTGGGCAACAAAATAAACACGAGCATAAACTGTATACGCAACACAATTTGGAGGTGTGTTAACAAACGTGGACCTTGTATTTGTAGTTGTTGCTTGATTCATACAACCCAATATCAGTAATGACATTCCCATGTACAATAAAAGGCTAAATAGGCGAAAGAACCCGTTTATATCGCTCGTGAGAGCGTGTGAGATATCACACAACAGCTGTTGTTATATTTGTGAACATGAGTGCTTTCTCGCGAAAATATATGTATGTACATGTGGATGGAAGTACATACGGTGGCGCTTATAAAAAATCAGTCGAWTTTTACTTCTGTATAATTTTTAAGAAATTAATTAGTGAAATTGAGTGGATTATGTWTTTTAACGTTTATTTTTAGGTTAGGGATTAATTTGAAATGTTTTATTCCCAAGATATAATAATATATGTTAATGTTTTTCTACTACCGGTTTTTGTCATGGATATAACGTAGAAAAATTATTGATATTTGTATATAGGACGACACTTACTCGTCAATATACAATATAATCAGATATTTCCATTGAAGGCGACATTTTTATGCGGTGAAAAGTTTTGCCACGAAGTTTATAACACGCAAAAGGAAACATCGGAAATCGAATAAAGTATAAATAAAATGCATTAACTGTATATACGCGACTAGCACCTCAGTTTTTGAGATACCAGTCTGAAAATTTTCACACGTAATTTTCTTCTAAAAAGCTGCCTATTTATTGAAATTGCAGATAGCAAACCAATATTAGATATAGCAGTCATACAAAATGATCGATTAGCCTTAAGTCCTTATATAGAAAGCGTTTTGAAAACGTGTTTGATAAGATATATTCTCAAAACTTGCTATTGAATATTGTTAAAGGCTGTACTAAAATCTACAATTTATTCCGAGCGGATAACTATAGCATCTGGCAGATAAATCTGTCGTGCAAACTGGCTGATCAATATCACGATTTTTATACCCTCTTATGGGGTTTTAAGAAATGCACCTGTGAAGTGTATCATACCGGTGCAGCCGAACTTAACATTTCTTATTGACCTTCTTCTTCTTTTTGTCTCTTTAAGTTTAATTTCAAAGTTCAATTTGCAGTAAAATCGTGTGATTTCAGTAAACAATAACTTCATAGCTGTAAACTGTGTAACTATACATACGTCGAGTTGAAAAAAAATTCACAAATAGATTATGAATTTAAACTATGAAAAAAATGCGAGTATAACAAAATATATAATTTTTATAAATACATATATCATGAAGAAATTCTAAACTAGATATTAAAATAGTATGCTTTCCGATTATTTGCAGAAATTTCAATTTCCTATTTTGCTAATTAGTTGACCATATCATAAACAAGGTTACAAATACTGCATACAAAATAATTTAATTCACATTTGCAGCAAAACACTTTTTGTACGACCAAATATCTTTAMATTAAACATTTTTTTTATTAAATTAACGGAAATTTTTAGTTTTAAATATACATATGCTTCAATAAAAAAAAATGTTTTAGAATTTATATTTAATTCCAAAATCAGCACTAAAATTTTGAAATTAAATTTGTATACCCAAAATTACAATTAAAAATTGAAAATCTAATTTTTTAGTATCTCCATGCACRAAAATTAAATTTCGAAACATTTTGCATACATTTCTGAGTTCATTAATTAGGTTAAAAAGTTTAATTAAAACTTAAAATACAACCTACGAAACAATTACTACTTCCTTTAGAAAATTTCGGTACGTTTTTTAATTGCAGCCACTGTGTATAGATACTTATTTACGTATGTACATACATATGTATTTGTTTCAATATACTCATATGACCACGTACATATATTTCGCTTTTCACGTTTTATTCATTCTTTACTCTTTCCACATACCACTTTGAGGTTAATATGAATTTGCAAATTTTCATTTTCTGCAAAAAACAGACGTCTGATATATAAATTTTAAATTACAAAAATACAAATAACAACAATACGAAACTACTGCTAACTTAGCGCTACGAGTTGGTATGTACTTTGTGTGACTTTGAGGTAAACACGAGCTAAGTTCAGACGTATACAATAATATAATTATGCAATTATTATATATTTAAGCACAATAACACAATTCACTGCACTGTTCATTTATAAAATTATACATAACCGTGTGTACGTAAGAGTTTATATTTTTATGGCAAATTTTTAGTAACACTTACCCTTCGTTCTTCATGTTCAATTGATTCAGTTGGTTACGCTTGCGTTTGTGGCTAAAGTAACTGATCCGTTCACTTTTATGAAATAACGGCAATCTATGCAAKGCTAACGCCAAGTTTTTGTTTAACAAATTCACACCAATTGTTTCAACTGCAAAATTAAGCAAAAAGGAGAAAGCAAAAATCACTAAATTGCTATTATGTTTATGTCATTATAATTATATCAAAATTGTAACAATTTCAAAGTTTAACATTCGCGCTGTCAATACCTGCTTTGTGGCAAAATGAAACGAACCCGTTTATCGTATTTTTTTTCAACCTATATAGGCAAATAGCGGCGGCAGTAGTTTGACGTCTGCAAGGAGTTTTGCGTAAGCACTTCTGCTTTTGTTTTAGTTTATCTCAAAATGTTTTCCTTTTCCTTTTGCCAACTTAAAAACGCGTCGATTCAACGCTTATATTTGTTCAACAACTGTTTGACCACTGGTTAAGATCCGTTGCGATCGCTCCGATGTAAGTGCAGAAAACATATATTTATACATACGTTTTTAGCGAGACTTTATCAACTCTTTGACGTTTACTACTACACATGCACAGGAATCCATGTGAACACATTGCCATTAACTTTTGTGATATCCATTCTCTGCGAGTGATTGAGGTCTTCTCCACATGCAGCGAAGAGAGCATATTTACAATATGTTTGTTGATGGTTGTATAGGTGAGCAAATTCCATATCGAACTATTAATGTTTTTAGTGTTTCAGTGAGAAATCACGCACCGTTCTGTACGTACCAGTAAGAAAATGAAGTTGCGTTCAGGTGATTTGACCTAAATTTGATATATAGTATGTACATGTAGGCGGTAGAAACATATTTTTTCTTTTCGAAATTCCAATTTCAGGCTTTATAGATAAACATATTTCACCACCTTGATAGCGCCAAATATGCTAATAAATACAACATATGCTACAAATATCACTGATGATAGAAGTTCTATAAGACTAATCTAATATGGCTAATATAAATATAAAAAAGCTCTCATTTGCCACACGTACGATCTATTAAATATATACAAGTAGATATATGTAAAAAATATGTAATTTGTAATCGGTTTCCATAAAAAGCCATTTTTTTAYCATGAAATTTTTGTCCAGCTGTATGAAAAATATTGTAATATTTTATTAGAAAATTTTATCAAAATTATTTGATTAAATTGCCTTATTGGGCTCCTTGCACTTAACACTGGGAGTGTGATTGAGGCTAGAAGCGGCGAGTCACTAATAAAGACACGTCAACATATGTACTCAATTACAAAGAAAATCATAGATATTAATGAGTGCGATTAGCGCAAATGTGCAAATATATGAGTGACACATACACACACATATACCAAGCTGGTGCTTATACCAGCTGGATATGTCGAATTAGTAAGTTCGCAAAAAGCGTCTAATATATTCTATTAAAGCTTATTCACACATTTATGTCGCAAATAACAGTCATCTCATAAACACTAAAACATTGCTAACGATGGCAAATRAAATAAAAACAAAAATATGTTATTGAAAAAAAGTGGAAGAACAAAAATATTATCTTAAACTGCGAAAATTAGTGTCTTTGTATAGAAATTTACAGGAAATGCTTTACTATTAAAGATTTTCATAAAAAAATATAAATATATACCAGCATAAAATGCCACTCACTAATGTCTGTACATACCTGTGTACATGGCTATGTACTTTAATTTAATAAAAATCTTTTAAATTGAAGCAAATTACTCCACACCGAGATCACTGTCGCTCGCTGTTGTGGTGTCGTTTTTAATAGGAGCGCGTAAATATTTAGCGGAAATTGTAATTTACTCATATTGCCGACTGCCGGCAACTTGTTGACCGCATTTGAGTGCTCGACTCCTGTGCATGTGGGAAGACATTTGCGCGTGCCTCCATAGAAACACAGAAATATACATGCAAGTATACTATTCCTATATGTCTACCCCAGGCAGCTATATACATAGATATGATATCTCAATTAGTCAATTAAGAAGTCAACGTATTCGCAAATGCCATTGATTTAATCCGTGTTAGTCGAGCCAACAGATTAAATAAAGATTCAGAGAGCACGCAAGCAACAAGCATAAAAACAAATGTACACACATATGTGTATGAAGGAAATGAATTGAGTGTGAGCGACAATGCTGAAAAGGAATTATATACAATTTTGACCTTTAGAGAACCGGTATCTTAGCGAATACGTTGACTTTTCACGTAGGGAGCAAACAAAATATACGTACATGTATACACACATATTATATTTAAATATGAGCACATGTTTGAAAGCATGAAGGCCTTAACATATTTATTTATAAAGATAAAGGTTTGTGTGTAACTGGAAWCATATATAATTCCATGCCATTTGAAAGTATATGCGTAACACGATGACGTTGCACGAATAAAAAACGAAGCAGCGTCCAATGCACTTATTTACTATTGCTTGACGAATGTATGCCTTCATGGCGTCTACATAACTCGGTGTGTGGCCACTTTGAGTGAACGGCACATAACAATGCGGGAGAATTTATTTGTTTTTCGTTAAGAGAAGGAAAAAAACAAAAATGGTAAAAACTATAGTTGAGAGGATAAATTATCCAATGCTAAAAAACAGCTGAGTCAATATTGTTTCCAATTTTATTTTTTATATACTATAAATATTTTTATTTATTATTGAATTTTACTAAAGCATACAAATGAATTTATTAAAATATATTATATACATATATACATAAAGTATTTGTACGCGTGGGTCTTCAGATTCACGTACTTGTGTGAACACACACAGTTACAAATTTTCGTATGCACAAATATCAAAGATGGGGGCTCGTCCCTCCCATACACTTATACACGAATGTCTTACACGCATTCGCAGCATAAACAAACAAAAATGAGCTTACATTGAAAAAAATGGACAGTAAGGAAAAAGTTTACACAAAATAGTTGCTTATTGTCCTAAAATGCAAAATTTTCGAAATCATAAAATTTTTAAAATTTATGTAAGCATATTTTTTAGTAAATATTTATATTTTCTTGTAAAATAGTCAGAGAAAGGGATCGTCTAAGTGTGACTCTCCGAAAAATCACTGATTTCCGCGATTTTTTTAATGTTGAAATTAGCTAATCGGTCCGATTTTTTTATAAATACAAAATAATTTGTTTTATGTTTATTTATTGGGTATATAATAGTTAAATAAACTGTTGAAATTACATGTAAAAAAGGTCATGTACGATGTTCACGAATGCGGCCCCAATTTTGATCTAAACCAAAAAATTTCAAAAAGATTAWTAATCTGTAGAAAAGTCGCTATCGCGTTACGGATGCTTTGATTATGTATTTTTATATTAAGATTTAAAAACAAAAAGGTTCCCTAGCGCGATAGCAAATGACGTTAAAAATGTTCTCTCAAAATTGGAACTAGATATCATCAAAACTCTTCCTTTGAGAGTGGAAACCGTTTTGAWAAAYTACATTCTGAGAAATACGAGTTTGAAGAKTGGAGTTGCTCCGTTCCCCGCTCTGTTCCCTTTCCACAAGAAACACTGTACCGGCTGTAATAATTAGTTTCGATTTAAAAATTTGAGAGAATATTTATTACATTGTATACTTTCCGATAATGCCAAATCGATTTCTCRAAAATTTCACACTGYGACGATCCCTTAATAAAGCATTTAGTGAAGGTCGTGAATTCTTTGTTGATGAAGATAGAAAAAGTTAAWGAAACAGTGCTTGAAAATCGTCGAGTAGTCATCAGAGTAATAGCAGAGGTTCATAAATTCTCTTATGGATCGACTCAACATATTATGGATGCTTGACAACGTAGCTGGGGACTCTACATTCATGAAACGCATCGTTACAAATCACTAGGCTGGGTTATTGAATAGGACGTCGATACTGTCGAACAATCTATCGAATAGCGCACTAAWAGCCATTCCAGCTGAGGCTTCTATATAAYAAGTGTATGGAAAATTGAGTTAAGCATGAYTTTATTGGCTTTTGAAGGYGGTATTMAGAATTTGCAATAATATAATAATATAATCCCTATCAAATTTGTTTAGTAGTAAAAGGGCACTTTTGCACACACTTTTTATGGTTTTGTGCCCCACGCTTATGTAAAGGCAACATTGTTTAAAGTACACGCCCCTCGATTCACATCGTTAATAGAAAATAAATTTGCTGTGACTGTATTGAAATATAAACAGGTAGTTGTTTCCACACATTTTCAAGCATAGTATACAAATTTATATAAACAAAAGTATTTTTGACACCCTGTGTTATTCTCTGTAAAAAAGCTCGCCGGAAGAGCTCAATACACGCTTTCAAATGGCGGGTAGCTTAATTTGCCTACTAGTGGCAAGCCCACGAGCGCCACGTCTGGCGCCGATTATGCTGCGTATTAAACATTRAATTGCACATACAACATGTATTAAATTTATTAAATTACCAGAAAATGCAACACTTAAATAATTAGCGTAAATGMAACTGAGTTGAGTACAATACTTACAACATATCTGCTGTGGTCTATAGGAAAGCAAATTGGCAATTAGTTAGTGCAGTAGCGTTCATCGTTTCTGTTTTTGCAATGGCGGCGGCATATCAAGGCTCGTAACAAAAATGTTGAATATTTAACGCTGCACTTGCATTAAATTGTAGCTATCACAGTTTTTGCGTTAAATAATGTTTATTTTATATTGTATTTCACTAAACTATGTTTGTATTTATACACTTCAGTCTTAATAAGTTACTTGTATGGATTCCCTATAGTGAAATTGTTAAGCTGTTGCAGCTGCGGCAGGTGACCAACTGAACAAGTATGGCAAATTCTGTACGTCAGTGTGCACTTTAGCGGACGATGAAAGCTCTTGTTGTTGGCTGGAATGAATTTGGTAACACTAKTCAATGACAGATAAATGTTTTGTTTACATATACGCGCGCATTGGCAAATGAGAAGCCATTGCTTTTGTTTACAAACAAAATGAATGACAGTGCATGGCGACAATTGCAAAAACAATGCAATTTAGTAAGCCGCATAATGGTTTCGGAGGTAACCAGTTAATTTTTAACTTTTCGAGGAAATGTTATAATATTATTTACTAATTTAATTTTAAATATATTTATTTTGTTTATTTTAAGGATATTATTACGGTCGGTATAATATTAAATATAAAAGATTTTTGATGAACAATTTTATGAAAACTGTAATAATCTAACACCAACAACGCAAACGCCATTTGTCGTCATTTTTATTTTACCTCCTGTGACGTCACCACCTTCCGGCAACTGCTTTGTGCAATAAAGCTGGCAGGACGATTGATATATGATGTAAAAATGTTTCTTCCACTTGTAAGCCGTTATTTTAAGAACTGTTTTCATTGTATGTAATTAAATTATCTTACCATKGAAAGGTTATATTTAACAGATGTTAACCAGTTTTACTCTGTGTCATTGTTGGTAAAGCATAAAATGACTCAACGTCCTTGAATTTAAACATTTTCAAGGTACTTAGTGTATTATAAAAATAATAATTCTGTCACTATAACTATGTATATGTGTGTACGCCAGCATCTTATACCCCTCAAATCATAACTCAAACCAAACAGCATTGAAATCAATTGTACCTGGAACAAACAGAGTTACCAGATGTACTAAATAGTTTTTATGACTTTGCTGCTATAAAAACAAAAACGAAATTAATAGACGTCATAAAATCAGAAGAGGACACAATAATTACCGCTCACGGATAGCTACATCAAACATACTGAGCGATGACATCAGTTGCACTTCTCACAGAGGGTCGGCCAACTAYTACCTTCGTACACACGAAGCATACAAAAATGCATATGTATGTATACAAACACATTAGCAGCACCAAAGCCGGCAACGGAAGCACAACACCAACAACATTCAAATACCGGCTTCCAGCAGCACATACACGCAYATATTTTCATATATATAAGAAGAGCAACAATGCCAGTAATAGGGCTGCCATATTTCAAGTTTAGTTGTAACTTACAGCGTTTTTTGGAAGTCAGATCTAATGTAATATACAATTTTTTTATATTTTCTTTTTAGAGCAGTGTATATATGTATATATTTTCAGTGGCTGTATATTTTCACATGAACGTCTAAGCTGACTCCAACCAAAAACATTATTTATATGAATTCTCAAATTGTTAAAATGTTTTGAAAATTGACTACGTCTTCATATTTTTGGGAATTTTAGATTTTGCTCTTGGCAACCATATCATCAGCTTTGACACCAATGCTTGCCGCATTTCTAACGACCTCAAAATCACCAAACATTTATTCTGATTACAAAAACAACGCATAGCATCTTGTTATGGCCACTTAACGTATTAGTCACTCTTTACATATATACATACTATGCAAATACGAATATAACGAATGAAAAATTCTTACGAGTAAAAAGTGAGCCCGACGATCGATCGTAAATCGCCAACTGAAAGCTTTAAAGCAATTGTTAGCTTCAGTTTCAGCTTGAATCTTGTCTAGTGCGCAAGTGGATTAACGGAGACATTACAAAATACCAAATATACGATTTTAGCATCTTATTTATATTATTAGTGCAAAAACAAAAGTTAGAACATAAAATGCCTGGTAAGTGCTGAATTCTTGCAGTTTTTGGGGTGGAGGTGTAAGACGATATAAGAATTGGAGCATATATAGTAGAAAGAAAGTTACTAGAAAGCAAAATAACTGAATAGTGGACATAGAGAAAATGAACTAGTGTCATACGTTGCGAATTCTCTTGGCACACATCCATACATGTAAACATATCTATTTACTCGTTTAAATTTTAGATGTTGACTCAATGGCAACAATTCACAAGTTTGGCATTCATTATACATATATAGTATAATAGGTAATTGAAATTAAATTTACTTTATTGACTTTTATTGCGTAGGTGGCCTTTACATCTTAACAGATCAGGCTGTACTTCTGCTCGTATTTCTAACAATTTGTTACGAGCAGCAGCTCCTAGAAACGAGGGGATTCTTAAAGTGTGGAAATATGAAGAAATAGTTATTCTTGGTTTGAACCACATTTGAGTAAACTTTTTCTATTAACCTTGTTTTATAGGCCACTCGTTTTCAGCCGCACCTCGAGATGCGAGATAGTCAACTATTTGTTGTATTTGAAAATTACGTTATTGATTAGTTTTGTGTAAATTTGAGAAAATTATGTCATACTTTATTAACGCATTCGTATGTATATATAGTACATATTTACATATACTATGGAGATGTGCATGTAGCTGTGTGAAGAAATAGAGATGAAGCTTAGGAGCTATATTGTACTAGGAGTGTCCTATAAGTTAAGATACTTGTATGTAGGTATTTAAATGGCATTATGTATATACAAATATAAATACATATATCATTTGTATGTGTATATATGTAAAAAAAAACATTTTTTCCGACATACATACATATGTATAAACATAAATCTTTTGATACTTGTTTTGCTTGCGCCGGTCAATAAGCAATAATCTAGAAAAGAGCAAAAACATAAAGAAAAAGTAACAAAAAATTACTAAAAACAGCTGCCGCCCAGCTTTCAATAAAATTGCTACGTGTTGTTCGCGGTCGCTGTCATCTTTGAAAATCAGAAGATACGCTTTTATATCTATCTATTATACACATAAATATAATATTCAATAACAAAATCGAAGTAATAGCTGTACATATACAATAGGTATAGCAGTATGCGTAGATATATAGAAATCTTAGTACATATGTATATATACTTTTGAATTGGCTCCAAAAATAACAACGCATATTCAATATGTATGTATGTATATACTAATTTACGTGCACATACTTTCTCGACGTTCTTTTTCGTTTTTGATACTTTTACTTTGAGTTCTTGATGGGTTTCATTAGCATACATTTTTTTCAAAGAAGATATTTTTTTAATTATGAATACAAAAATGCGCATATTTTATTAAAAAAATTCCTAATTAGATCCGTTTTAATTAGGAATTTTTGTCTGTTGCATGTTTTAAAAATAATTAGAGCTTTTGTGTGAGAAAAAAATGTTTTTTTGTTTTTTTTTTTTGTATGAACTACAGCTACATAGTCCAACTCATTGGCAATATAATTTCAATAAATAGGTAACACATTTTTTATTTTTTATTCAATACTTCAGTATTATAGACGTACAGGCATACATTTTTTCGTTTACTGAGTTTTAATTTAAAAGACTACATAAAATGAACAATTCGTGGACAAAAAAATAAATTAACAAAATTCTTTGTTTTTGTTAAAAAACATAACTTTGTATTTTATATTGTGATGCACTCCTATTATTTTGAACACAACTGTAGCTGTCTCTTATACACATCTTTATATTTTATTATTCATGCATTTAAATAATTTACATATATTAATTTAATATATAATATATGCATGTATACTTTCTCGCCTATATTCTTAAGTCTGCAGAGATTACAATAAATATAATATAATTTATTGTTTAATCTTTAATTAGAATGTATTTAATATACAGACATACATATAAATGTATCATACTCATCCCTTATCTGTGGATGAAGTACATAAGCTGTCTATCCGACTTTCTTAAAAATTATTCAAGAAATGATTTTAATTTCATTTGTGTTATCTATAATTCACACCAAGCTGTAGCCATAAATACAACTCAAACGTATCATTTTGTCAATTGGTTAGGGTGAGGGARTAAAGTGAATCGGCAGCAATAATTTTATTAGCATATTAGCGCTATTTAATAGTATCGGAGGTGCATGGACTTGATATCTATATACATATATCTATCACTGGTTTCAACTTTATTGTATTCGATCAGTTTGTATGGCGGCTATATGTTGTAGGGGTCCTATATTGACGGTTCCGACAAATATTCAGCTTTTTGAGAAGAAATTAACATAAACAAATTTCAGACCGATATCACAAAGGCTGAGAGCCTAGTTCGGGTATGTGCGCACGGGCAGATGTTGTTGTTGTTGTAACGGCAGAATAGATAGACATGGCTAAATCGACGCAACTTGTCAAGTCCATCATTTCTATATATACTTATATACTTTATTATTTCTGCTTAAGTTTCCTTCTGATTGTTATAAACTTCATGGTGAACTTAATAATTATACCCAGTTGGGGGTATAAATATTCATTCTTCGATAACCTCTTGAATTGTGAAAGCTATTAGGACAGTTAAGATACAAATTTCGAAATATACAAATATTATACGTTTTCAAAGAATGTAAATTAAATAAAAATACTCTATATTTGTCTCTTATACACATCTAGATGTGTATAAGAGACAGGTATAGAATATGTATGTATGTATATACATACATA